TTCAGCGAAATTCGAATTTATACGAATTGTATACGACCGAGAAATAGAGTTATGAAATAAGTATTCATCGATTCTTCGAGGCATGGAGAGATTTGGAATTTTTCAAAGTTAGCGAATAAAAAGAATTCCATTTATTCGTCGAGAAATGAATGAAACGGTTCGTTTAAAATAGCTAAGAGTTTGCGGGGTAAAAGTTCATCGATTCTTCGAAGCGAGATAAAATTTAAAAATTTTCAAAGTTAATAGTGAATAATAGAATTCAATTCGTCCATCGAAAATTCGTATGATTAAAGTAAAAGAGATCATCGTTAGAGATATGGAACTTGTCAAAGTTTGGCGAATAAAATTCCATTTATTACGAATCCATTGAGAAATAAAGTGGAATTTATGGGAATGAAACGTTCGTTGATTCTTCGTGGCATTTGAAACTTTTCAAGGTTGGTGGAGGAAAGTTGACAAAAGTTGGCAAACTTTGAACAAAGTTCTTGAACGACGAATCTCTCTCGTGAAATATAAACGGAAACGTGTATCGTGTTGATCGCATTGAAGTTGGCGAGTGCACAGGATGTACCGTTCCTCCTCGATGCTTCACAGACTTATCGAAAGATAAATCACAGACATTTTAAAATTAGCCCTCCACGTTGTATCGAATACGTTTTCTTCGCTTTAATTTTAGAAAAAAAGATTGTGAAAACGAGAGAATATGAAAATAAACGAAAAATGGTAGACTTTTTTTTTTTGTTTTTTTTTTTTTTTTACTCACCAGAACGATCCGCGGGATGTACCGACAGATATAATCCCTTGTTTCCATCAGGATTATTCACCCAATGGGAGAGGGATTCGCTAATATTTAAAGTCAACCACCCTTCCTTTCCTGTCGTCGTGTTCACTGCGTCTACGTATTGCAACTCCCTTGTTCTACAACAAATTGTTAAAAATTTCAATCGTGTAAATCTATATCTATTTTTTTTCTTTTCTAGAGAAGATATCGAAAAGTTATAAATCTTTTTTTCGTTCCTTGTTGAAAAAAAAAAAAAAAGAAAGAAAGAAAGAAAGAAAAAAGAAAAATAAATAAATTCATTCACGTTTACAACGGTTGGAAAATAAGCGAAGCAAAATTATAGGCATATTAGGCTTTCAAAACAATGTGTCAAACATCCTATTCCAGCTCTAATGTTACCTCCTGACTAACAATAAGCTGGTAAGCATTGCAACGCATTAGCCGCTAAATGCTCGGTGTCACTAATATCTATGCAATTTTCCTTGCATATATCAAGGAAAAACTCGCGTCACTCATTACGTTAACACGCAGTATGTGTGGACAGCGAGCAGAAAACACACGTCACATGGGAATTATCTCGCTGATCAAAACAAACATCTTCTTTACCAATACCTCTCCGCGAACCAAACTTCAAATATTTTTCTTACTCCGCGTACATCCGCGAAAATTACCGAATTCGCGCGAAAAATAAATAATAAACGATCGAGATAACGAAATACGAAATACGAAAAGAGAGAAAAAAGAAATAGCAGATCGCTGGAATATTTAAATCAATGTTCCCTTCCGTCGTGTCGCGTAAAACGTTTTATCGGATCTCTCGACTTTTTGAAATCTTGTTTTTTTTTCTCGATAGAGAAAGTTTTATCGGATTTCTCGAATTTTCGAAATCTTGTTTTTCTCTTTCTTTCGATAGAGATGGAAAGTTTTATCGGATCTCTCGAATTTTCGAAATCTT